TTTGGTAAGGTGGGGAAATTGAATGGGGAAAGTAGATTTTTCGGCCATGGGACACTCGTGATAACAAAAACACGAAAAATTACTTTCTGATGTGGAAATTCAAACTACGCTGCAACCACAGAGCATACTCAGAAATAACTCGGGCTCTGATACCACTTTGTTGGAAATAAAATGATTATTTCCTTTATATTATTTGGTGGGCACTTATATGGCTTTGATGTGCACGTTTGGTGGGTGGAATGGAAGTTGGTGGTTATTTAATTGAAGAATGAGAGAGGGCTATTGGGAGAGGGTATGCGGCAGAGGGAGCTAGGGAAGAATGAATTTTATTGACTACTTTCTTTCTTTGTTCTGCTCTTTTTTATTTGGCTCTGCACACAAACACCAAAGCTTACAATACTATTTATAGGCATCCACTTACATAAATATCAAGGGAACCGACTTAGATATATTGTTACTAATTTTTTCTTTTTGTTTAATCTATTCAACTAACCCAACTACTATAATAAATTTCCCTTCTACACATTTCCATAATCCATACACGTTGATAGTATTCTAGGGGTTCTGATTTTTTCACCTTTATTCTATAATTAAACTTTATTAATTAATTTCAACATCTGCTACTTCTGGTGAGCTCTTCTTGATCCTTCTCCTTATCGATGATCGATTGGGCGATTGTTGTATCTTTGCACGACCAGGCCTGACATTCCGGTATGCGATTCATCATCCTACTCAATTGGTTGCCTCGCCTAGTGATATGCATATGCATGTTGCATCTAGATTAGTTCGATTTGATCGGAATAATCCTGGTAAAGGATTATACTTTCTAGCAGATTCTGAACTTAAACTTTTTGCATTTTCAGACTCTGATTGGGCTGGTTTTCCAGATACTAGAAGATCCACTATTGGCTTTTGCATCTTGATGGGTAAATTTTTGATCTCTGGGCGATTAAAGAAACAATCCACAATCAGCTTTTCCTCTGCTGAAGCAGAGTATAGAGCAATGGCTGATGCACTCACCAGATCACTACTTATATACATATTTGAAGACTTGATAGGCAAGTTGGGCATGTGTGATGTACATGCTCCAACTTGACGCGGGTATTAGTAGTTTATGATACAAAATTAGTTGTTTTTTTGGGTAGTTGTATGTAATTCTGTAGATTATAGGTACTATTTGGTAATTTGGTGTTTGTATATAACTATATATACTGGTTGTAGAGTAGGAACAAAGCAACCTTTTCTCTCTTATCAATTTAGATCGTATTATTCAATTTACTTCCGCAATCTTAATTCTGGAATCTAGCATGCATGGAGCTTTCAATCACACATTACAAAATTCATATACAAACATTGTTTCACACATGTACTAAGACTCTCAAACCTCTGACTGCATGCACCTTATGTTCGTTAGACCTAGGTATCTGATAGAAAGTTTGCTCTTGTTACTCAGTAAGCATCTTATGCTTAGTAGTGTTAACCGTAACTGCTATTCATTAGGGGTGTTGAAACGGTGTGGTTACCATGGTAACCGTTTTAACCAATGCAGTCAAAATCACGCTTTAAAACTTAAAAACTTACGGTTTTACGCTTTTATGTCACCAAAACGCTTTCGTTTTCACATAAAAACTTTAATGTATAAAATCAGACTAAATTCCGCTTTAACACTTAAAAGCTTACGCTTTTACGCTTACAATTCACCAAAACGCTTTACGCTTTTACAATTTTAGTTCACTAAATGAGTATTCCTTTCATGAAATTAATTATAAAAAGGATATTTTAAAGGTAAATCGCCAACAATATGATACATTAGAGAATAAAATATACATACCAAGTACTTGGATGCATTCTCAGCTGGAATAGAATAAAAGATGCATACTAGGCTATTCCAAATTCATTAGCATAGAGGGGAATGTGGTTTATTATTAAGATTAATGTTTATCAACTTATTATTAAGAGACTATAAGTTGCTCTACTTTAGGTATGAATTGCAGGTATTTATTAATTTATCTAAATTTTGTGCACTCATATTTTACATAGTATATGTCATACTTAACAGATTTTTAGTTATTCTACAGTATGAGTAAAAAACTTACGGTTTTACGCTTTAATTCTACGCTTTAAGATTCTACCATTTTTCGCTTCTAGATAGAATCACGCTTTTGACTGCATTGGTTTTAACCAGTACTATTTGGATAATTTGGTTTGGTTTGGTTAAAGTTTTTACCTTGTTTGGTTTAGGTGGTTTGGTTTGGTTTCATACACTCCTAACCAGCCAAACCAAATTAACCAGATATATAATTAGCCATATATCTAATATATACACATACTTAATACTTTGAATAACCACTCAAGAGAGTTAAACGTTCATTCTTTTAGACTCATAAAATATAAAGCTTGATATTGTTCCTATAATGTATATTTGTATATGTAGAGTGTAGACCACAACATATGAATGTCTAATTTAGATAAATCTCATACATTATGTTGGATGAAAACTTGAAAGCAAGGTCCTTTTCAGCCTATGAAAATTGCTAAAAGACTAAGTCAATTCAAACAAGCACAACAATTCATTAACCCATACCATTGTGATAATTTTTTGTTAGGTGAATACTTCTATACTAACCGTAAGATAATTGTCTTAGTTGCATGTATTTATGTTAAGGGTCAACTATAACTATCTGTTGATGGTTATGTTTTATTTATTATATAAATTGTGAATTGATAAATTAACCGAAATATTTCTCACTTAATGATAATATGATATTAAATTGGTTAATCCGGTTAACCAATTAACCAAACCGATTAAATTTTAATTTGGTTAATTTGGTTGTTGTATTAGTTTGAACGGTTTGGTTATGATATTGTATTCCATGGTTAATGAAATTTAGCCTTATTTGATTTGGTAATAACCATGGTAACCATTTGAACACCCCTACTATTCATAAACAACACCGCCAAGCTAAAGATGAACCAAGTGATAAAGAATAGAAAGAGTCCATGTTTGAATTAGTGAAGTAAAAAAAATCTTTGGTACCTCCACGTAAAGGTAAACAGAAGGTTTCATGTTGTAGCCGCTAAAATATCATGGTCAAATATTAAACACGGTTGTTTATGGGATAAGATCTGGTGACTAAGAGGGAAGACTCCGACTCCCTTGCGCCAGCCGGTGGAGACTCCGACTCCATCCCTTGCCGTCGGGTAGTCCCGTTCCTTGCCTTTTCGGGAACATTGATAGAGAGAGCTTTTCCGACTCCAACAGATGAGTTTTCCAGCGACTAGAGACTCCAGCAACAGTGTTGGATTCGTGATGTTTATCGACCTATATTGTAATGTTTATAAGTTCAGTTTGCATTGTTTATATCAATTCGCTTTGTATTGTTTATTATTCTTGTTTGTCATTTTTATCTATTAAGTTTGTAATCTTTATGACTATTTTGTATGTATTGTAATTTGTAATGTTTGTTTGTCCATTTTATATACTTTTATGCTATGCTTTGTATACTTCGTATTCATGGATTTGTAATACAAGTTTATCAAATTATATTGTAAGTAGTGGTATTTCATACTGTTAGTATGTTTTTGTACTGTTTGTTGGTTTCTTTAGTAATGTTTGTAAGTTTTGTTATTTTGTAATGTTTCTCGGTCACTTTTTTAATGTTTGTAAGCTTTCTTATTATTGTGCACCATGTTTGTAATTTTTGTCAACCATGTTTGTAATATTTTTTATGTCTAAAAAACAATCTGATTGACTTTTGGATATAACTCCTCTATATAGGGATGAAGCCTCCAAAGTCAACCCGGGTGTTTTTCCTGTTTGTATGTTTTGTCGATCTAGTTTGTCATTTTTGTCCACCATGTTCGTAATGTTCGTATGTCTAAAAACAACCGGGTTGACTTTGGGAGGGAGCCCCTCTATATATAATAGAGATGGAGCCTCCAAAGTCAACCCAATAGTTTTTTCTTTGTGTATGGTTTGTATTATTTGTCAGTGTAGTTTGTATTCTTTGTAAAGTTCATATGTTTGTAATGTTTGTAAATCTGTTTCTATGTTTTATCGTTCTAGTTTGTACTGGTTGTAAGTCCGGTTTGTATACTTCGTAATTTTTCAAAATACCCAAATTACTCCTCCTACTAATTAAAAATCCCTTCCAGATCAGAAGCACAAGCTGGAGGACAAGGTTGAACGAGGAGTCTTCCTTGCTCCAGTTCTCAATCAAAAGGTTTAACAAGGAATTAACTAAGATGTCAAAGTTGATGAAGATGCTATCTAGAACTGGAATGAAGAAAAAATTGAAAGGAAGAAGGCCGAGATAACTCAACCACCACTAGATGTGGAACCAACATAAGCAGAAAAACTCAACAAATGCATATTGAGATGGAGAAAAATAAGGTCGTTGACAGAAATTTACGAGTGTAATGTTGCCATGAATGATTAGTTGAAAAAGAAAAATCGAATTACAAAGAGAGTTAAAACGCCACAAGAAGGAAACTACTGGTTGCAAGAAAAGACAGATCAAATGAGGAAGTCACAGAAATTTTCGAGACGATGATTAAGTTCAACGAGAAGTATTAAAAGATGAATTTAGTTCTAGAACCGATCGCGCCGTCCATACGATACAATTTTACAAACCCTGTATATAAGACAATAACAAGCTGGAAGCTCATATTAATGCATGAAATGTTATGATAATTAGACAACAACAAAAAGAGCACCACAAGATATGGCTTTTTAGTTTGAGATTGTGGATATTTTAGTGGAGTTTTAGGTGTTGGACTCTCTTATCGGATCTTTATCCGGTATCTTTATCCGGTTTTGGACTGGTCCCGAACGATTTTTCACCTCAAATCTAAGTTCGAATATGAGATTGGATTGTTTGTTATCCGGTCCCGTTCCAATGTCAGTCCGAGTTATACGGTCCGGTTTCGGGGAAAACCAAAAAGGCCGGACCAAATAATCAGCGCTACTTTTTAGGACTACTATATGAAAGAGATATAACCCTTTGGAGTAACTCTTATTCCACTTAAGCTTTTTACATCATACATATTACCAAGGTTTTGCTAGAACAAAACCCTACGTAGCGGCCAGTCTAAGCCTTTACTTCATATCGGGGAATTACGAACAGAAGCCACTTAGCAATAATAACAATACAACACAACATTCATTCGTAGATCTTCATCTCCATTTTCCGGGCGATGGTGGAACCCCAGGTGCGGATGGAACTTAAACCGGAACCCCGGCTACGGCTGGAACTGAAACCGGAACGTCATCGACGCTGGGAACCCCAGCAACGGTTGGGACTGAAACCAGAACGTGATCGACGCTTGGGATACCGGCAACGGTTGGTACTGAAACGGGAACGTCATCGACGCTTGGGACGCCGGCTACGGTTGGAACTGAAACCGGAACGTCATCGACGCTTGGGACCCCGGCAACGGTTGGAACTGAAACGGGAACGTCATGGACGCTTGGGACGCCGGCAACGGTTGGGACTGAAACAGGAACGTCATGGACGCTTGGGACGCCGGCTACGGTTGGAACTGAAACGGGAACGTCATCGACGCTTGGGACGCCGGCAACGGTTGGGACTGAAACGGGAACGTCATCGACGCTTGGGACGCCGGCAACGGTTGGGACTGAAACGGGAACGTCATCGACGCTTGGGACGCCGGCTACGGTTGGGACTGAAACGGGAACGTCATCGACGCTCGGGACGCCGGCAACGGTTGGAACTGAAACGGGAACGTCATCGACGCTCGGGACGCCGGCAACGGTTGGAACTGAAACGGGAACGTCATTGACGCTGGGAACCCCGGCAACGGCTGGAACTGAAACCGGAACGCCGGCAGGGACAGGGACTTCTTTGGCTGAGAGAATCTGGCGAGCCGCCATTGCAACCTCCACGTTGGAGAATGAGACAACGAGGAAGACAGCAAAAAGGAAGAAGATCGAGGACTTGGAAGCGGCTGCCATATTTTTTTTTCTTTTTCAGGTATCGAGACTGGAGAGAATGGCAACTTCAGTTAAATTAAGAGATGATCAGCTTGCGTTGTGGTGCGTTTTCAGTGGGCTCTCTTCGGGTTGTTTATATAGAGATTGCTGAGGGTGGGATGTGGTTTATGAAACAAGTGATATTGGGGATAGGCAGTGGCCGATCAAGGATTTTTGGCTGTGTCGGTTGATAACAACAAATTAATAAATACAAATATTATATAAATACAAATTTTGTTCATAAATTTCATAGTTTCCATTTTTTTTTTATGTGAATGATGTCCATTTTATATTCTGAAGGGTCTTTGTAAAATACACTTGTAGTTTATGTTACGGATCAAACATCTTTTTTTCCTTTTTTTGCGATAAGGTGCGATTCTCATTAAACTCAATTGGACATGGCCAGAATCGAAATACAAGTTTGGTGAAACAAGTGGTGGACCTAGAATTATTGAAAAGGGGTGTCGCCGATAAAAAATTAAAATAAATAAATTAAAATAAAATAAAAATGACTGGAAATTCATTTATAAGTTGACAACGTCATGTTTACTACGAATTATGACGATTTTTCATATCCTAGTGTTTTTTAAAATACCTTCATCGCTTATGTTGCAAATTAAACATTTTTCGAGATAAATAACTACATAATCATTCTTAAATTAGTCACTCAATCAAAGAGAATTGACCCACGTCTAAAATCAAAGTTAATATAAATTAGTTTACAGTCAAATATAATAAACCACGATCTACCAATTGACAATTTTAGACAAAACAAAGAAAGCCTAAAGTAATATCATTGGCATTTTTTCTCTAGTTCTACCAAATTAACCAAAATCAAACTATAATCTCGCATAAATCTACGCAATTCACATATTAACTACAAATTGACAAGTTAAATTGGTTTGTGGGTTACTTCAAACAAGCATGCTTATTTGATTTTAATTATTATTGTCAATTACTAATTATGATGAATAACTTTATAATATTAAATTTCTTGTCGTATAATGAATGTGTGTCGCTTATAATTATTGGAGCGGTGTCGGAAGTCTCAAATTAAATTTCTTTTTACTGGAAAAATGAAAGTCTTTCCCAATTTTCTGGTCTGACACCCCTTCCCAAGCCCTAGGTCCGCCCCTGGGCGAAACCCACAACCTGAACAGTAACTTTTACACACCACTCTACACAATCTGAATCACTAAATGGAGCTAAACATTAATAGAAGAAAATTCGCGCAACAGCAAACTCAAGTCTACTAACCCCATACGGAAGAGCATCAGACATGTCTGATTCGTTGTCATGCAACAGATGTCTGGGCAAAGCTTCTGAACTTGTTTAATAAAACTCTTGGGCAAGATGAAGATTCCTAATCAATATTGTTGCACTGGATAGATAACTGACGAAATAAGTTCAGCTTGCCAGCATAAGTGAGCTTACCATATCTCCATGACCAAATTTTACTAAATTTTTTGTCAATTAACATGTCACATTCTCTCATAGAAAGCTTTCCACCCACTAAGGGAAGCCCTAAGTATCTAACATGGAGTGATCCTTCCTGAAAGCTAGTTAAAGCCAAAGCATTGTCTCTGACTGCTCTAGGGGCACCTCCAAAATAAACTACACACTTGTGTGGGTTGCACTTGAGCCCTGAAATTGAGTAAAACTTATCTAGTACTCGTCTAATGCAAGTAAGAGCCCATCCTGATACTTATGAAAAAATTAACAAGTCATTCGCAAAGCACAGGTGTGTTAAACCTATAAGTTTGCATTGTGGATGAAATGCTAACTAATTAATAAACCTTTTAATGACCAAAGTGAAGAGGTAAGGAGACAGCAGGTCACCTTGTCTCACCCTTTACAAGCTGGAAAAAACCCACACAAACCCCATTAATACAAACACTGAAAAAAGCATATGACAAACAAGTTTTGATCCAATTGATGAAGAGCTGAGGAAATGCATTGTTTCGATGACTTGGAAAAAAACTCCAAATGCACTAAGTTAAAAGCTTTCATAAGATCAACTTTGACTGCACATCGAGAACTAATATTCTTGTGCCTATATTTAAAGACCATTTCTTGTGCCATCCTGATATTTTCAGTGATGTTTCTTCCTTTTATAAAGGCTTATTGATTCCTACTTATGAGACTAGGGAGAACTGATTGTAATTTGTTAGTAGTACTTTTGAAATGACCTTATACACCACATTACTACAAGCTATTTGTTTGTATTCAGTCATTTTACAAGCATTCTGAACCTTAGGAAATAAAGTGAGAGAAGCAGAGTTCAAACCTTTAGGTAAAGTTCCCTTGGCAAAGAACTCTAAACCACAAGGTATTAAATCCTCACCAACCACACTCCAAGTCTTTTGATAGAATCTAGGGGTCGAACCATCAGGGCCTGGAGCCTTATCTAGTTTGATCGAGAAAAGAGCAACCCTTATCTCATCAGCAGTAACCTGAGAACATAACTCAGTTCCCTCATCAACAAATACCTTCTTGACAATTAAAGCAGCCAACAGAGCTGGATAAGAGTGAACCTCTGCATTGATAACGCCATATAACATTTTATAAAAAGAAACAACCTCCCCAGTAACGTGCTCAGCGTTGTCAAGCACTACCCCAGAGTCTAATGTCATTTGATTGATCATTTTCCTAGAATGTCTCACCTTCATTGTCAAATGGAAAATTTTGTATTGAAGTCACCTAAAGAAAGCCAGTGCACTCATGATTTCTGTTTATAAAAGGTGTCCTCTGCTTTCTTCAATTGATGATGTTCCTTGGCTAGGTTATGTTCCATAGTGAAGTTGCTCTCAGAGGGATTCTGAAGAGACTCCATTTGAGCTTTCCTATGCAGCTCCTTAGCCTCCTTTACTTTGCCACTAATATATGCCAAACATTCTTTATTCAATTTCTTCAATTCTATCTTAGCAGATAATTGCTTTATCCTCAAGACAATATAGGATGATCCAACCACATGTCAACAAATCTAAATGGCTTCGAGAAGGACTTTGCTGAAAGGGCGGGCTTGATGAGCAGACCACATTGATAAGAGAAGTCAAGGGGGAGAAACTCAACCACACAGGAAGGAAAAGAAGAGTACCAATCAGAGTTGACTAACACTCTATCAAGATTCCTTACTATGGGATTTATTTCCTTCCTGTTGGTCGAATAAAACAATGGCCCAGTGAATCTATGATCATCTAACTCCATGATACCAACCTAGTTTCGAAAAGCCACAATACTTGAGTTAATAGGAATCCCATTAGAAGCTTCATCAGGATTCAGAATAGCATTGAAGTCTCCAGCTACCACTTAGGGAAAACCTCTTACTACAAAAGGGCTAACTGCTGAGTACATGGATGCTCTATATGCTTCCTCATTGGATCCATAAATTGTAGTAAAAAAGAAGTTGGTTCCATTTCGTGCCTCACTAACATATGCATATAATATTTAACATTATCACTAATCTTGGCAGCTTGCAACCCTTTCCTCTAGAAAACCCAAAATATGCCCAGAGGGGCATGATTATAGTTGCGTTTGACCTCATAAGCATCAAACTTTGCAATTATTTCATCTGAGTTACTAGCTTGCACATGATTTTCTAAGATTGCACCTACCTCCACCTTATATCTACTTAGGTAATCAAACACAGAAGCATGTTTGGAGAGGTTATTGAACCCTCTCGAGTTCCATACCAGACAATTCATTGTGAAGGATGGGTTTTATTACCCCTATCCTTACCACCTTTTCTATTACCTTTCTTTGTAGCCTGTAGTACCACATCTCTCCCTTTAACAACAGATAAAAATTTCAATGAATGAATATTTGGAAAATCTTCCATACCTTCGGCTTAGGGACCTTTTCCACAGGAGCAGCTTCCTGAGGAGAAGTAATAGGCGGAGAAGACGAACTAGCCACCTAAACTATAACAGATATTGGGGAGGGAGGGATGAAAATCTCCTTACCCTTCCCATTAGCTGCATCGGCATTTTTGTAACTGTCGTTGCTGGAACTTCAACAATATGAAGATTCTTCTTCTACCAGACTCTCCTCACTTCTCCTATTGTGCTAACACAATAATGCATGAAATTGCACTCCTTACAACGAGCAGGTAGGTGACAGTATTCAAGTTTGATTGTGAAAACCTTCCCTCCTCGCACAACAAATCTAACTTTATCAGTCAGCATTGTCGAAGCCTCAACCTCAACGCTGATCCTAGCATACCCTAACTTTAATCCCTTGCACGTAGGCTGATCCATACAAAGCGGTTTGCCAATTAGACTCACTACTCTACCCAACCCATCCTTAGAAAGCAATTCTAGAGGGAAATCGATCAGCTTAACCCAAATTGGCAGTGCCTTATTATCAAGTTCAAGTGCTCGGATCCCAATCTCCCAACGTCGAAGGAAAAACATAGTCTTTCGAAAACTCAATTGCAAGAAGCTTCTTAGGGAAATTGGAACAGAACAAGACGGTCACACAACCAAAAGACTCGTACCTGGCCATTTCGTCCCCAGAAACGATCCGCCTAGCTACGAATCACCCATAATGGCGTAGGCTTCCTAGTAATACATCTTTTTCTGTACACCTAATAAATACTCATTAATAAATTGGTCACTCAACCCACTTCGAAGATCATTCTTGATTAACTTCATAGTTGAGAATACTCTTGTCGCAACAGGTAAAGTCAATACTAACTTCATATGGGAAAATCGGAATGAGAAGCTGAAGGATGATGTGGCATGCGACATCAGGAAGCTTGAACGAGAATGGGGATGCCGACATTTGTAGGGTGGATCAAAGAGCAGAAAGCTGCAAGGCAGGAATTTAAGATTTTTCCCATCTTGAAACTCGACGAACATACGAATGAGAGGAAGAAATCTGAATTAAAAGAGTAGATGGAAAAGCTTTTGTGTTACGGGAGGGATTTTTTTACCTTTTTCGGCCAAAAAAGAGAAGTGAAATTAAAAGGGTGAAGGAAACATGTGTAGTTTTATTAAGGGTGCGTGAGGTGAATTGAGTTTTTTTTTGTAATAAAATAATAAATTGTATAATTTATTATAATTA